TAGATAAGCTTGCTTACGATGCGTGGTTAGGAAACCGAAACGTAAAACAGATGAAAAGATTTTATTAAGAATCGACGCATTTCGTCACTATCTTTCAGAGCTGGATATAGCAAAGTAGTGATAACACGTTTCTGAGTGATAGTTGTGTCACCCAATTGCGATATAACATTTTTCGTAAATATAATGTGTCCCAGTACTGATCCTTATCAATGCTTCGGATTCCTCATACCATTAAATTTGGACTTGAATCCATAATCACCAGTGATGAAAAATAATATCCAGGAAAGAATTAAAACGCTTGAATTGCATATAACACGCAGCAGCAAAATCTCTGGAAAACTGCTGTCACTACCTGAGTGAAAATCCTTATGTCTAACAGTTTAATTCGACAAGTACGCCGAAGCAACGTGGACCTTTACCAAGAAGGAAGCGAATGCGCTGGACATTTAAATGCTCGTACTGCGCAGAATACTCGGGAAACTGAAGTGTAAAACCACGAATGCACAATTGCCATAGGGTGTTAGAGCAAGTACAAATGTAGTTCGGACAAAGAATAATATTAACTCTCCATCTTATGAATATAAGAAACCAATACTGTCGATTTTCGGCTATGCACTGCAATGGGACGACAAGCGACTGATCCACATTCTGATTTGTAGTGTGCTAAACCCATCCTAGAAAAGACTGAAAGACCTGTCGACGACTTCTTGCATGTACAGTATCAGAAACGAACTGACTCATACATAGATTGGCCGCAGATACCAACTAACTGCAACCCAAACATGGCACAGTAACTGGCTTGAAATCATAACTAATAATGGCCAGGACAGAATACAATGGTAAATCTTCGTGCGAAGAAAGGCGAGGTGATGTAGCCTCTTGTAAGTCAAGATACAACTTTCACACATCTATGTTATCAATACATCATTAATCTACCAAAGCACTGAATTCAGTTTCTAACGTATTCAGTTCTAACGATGTTAGTAAAGAATCGCTTCACTGTTGGTAAAACCATTTTATCTGTTTTACGCTTGGCCTTCCCAACCATGTATGAGGAGAGCAGTTCGCTGATGAACTATGAGTCAAGAATCAAACACTCTTTAAAAAAATGAGCTGACTTCATTCAATCATTCATTTTACTTAAGTGTCGCTTAAGGGAACAAAACAATTAGCCAACTTATGCAAGAACAAAAAAGAATATTTACAAATATTAATCAACGTAAAATAATTCATAACGAAGACAAGGAAACGGCGATTTTGCAAGACAATCCGGATTGCTACAGCTTTACCCACAACCCCTGTCTTTCTTTGATGAGATCCATTAAAAACCTACCTGCAAAACGGAAAACTGATTTCGTAAACTTTGAGTCTACTCTTATAAGGTCGTTCATACATCTCCTGAACGCATGTAGCGCCCCCCCCCGCTCAAAATGAAGGTTATCGGACTTACGCCTTGTGTTAACTAAAACAGAGGATAGTCTGCTATAAGGTTGATCAAGGTGAAGTACAATTACAAAGGCTGCTCGCATCGAACAGTACAGCCGCGCACAGTTTATTCTGGCGTGATCAAACCTGAATACCCTGCTGTGTGTATTATTGAAAGCCATCGACTTACTACCCGTTTATCGGCTGATTGCACCGTAGCAATGTATGGCTAATAATCCTTTATAACGGAAATTCGCGACTAAGATAAAGACTGTCAGGCCACCTCCGGAGTACCAAGTTGACCTCTCAAGCAATTTTCAACCACAGCCATGTTTCATTCAGGTAGAACAACGGAATAAACAGCTTTGACGTTCATATTCTAATGAAAATGACCTGCAAAAAACAACAAATTAAGTGGTCAGTAAACAAAAAGCTGCTTTAAGATTTAACAAACCTATAAAAATAAGCAAATCTAACCTTGTTTTTGATCACTGGCAGTCTGTCTCACCCTTTTAACTTTAATTCAGTTGTTCCAGTAGTTAGGTGCAAAAATAGCCTGAGAAGTATGTCTATCATTTTCATGTACGTAATGCTTGGACATGATTCAAGATATCTGAAAACTGCTTACATAGAACTTCGCGACTCCGCACAGCTGGATGCAAAAACTGCATCAACAATAACAAAAGTTAAAGCACACATTTTTTGTGTTACGTATTTCGGAAAGGTCAGACCACAGAAGCTGTTGCCATGCGTTAAATATATCGCGGATTTTCTGGCTACCATTCAACTCAGACTACTCATCATCTGAGAGTTTTGAGAAAAAGTGACATAAACAACCATAGCTGTAAAAGAAACAAATCAACCACCTCCAGGAAGGCGAAAGCCATGATATTTTTAAGAACATAATCTTCTGGTTGCGTTCACGTACGACTGTGAGGCAGACAGCATATTCCCAAACGTGATTTTTCGAATCTTGCCCCTTATAAGCATTTTAAAAATAGGATGCAGTTGCTTTCTGGAATGTTCATTACATATTTTAAAACATCTTAATCGAGAAATCTATTTCAAAAATACTGCTGATCAATATACTAGAACATGTCCGATCAAAAGTGAAAGCAGCCCAATACAACATTTCAAGCACCGCGAAATATGCCAATTATACACCATACAACAGTAAAGCATTTAAACTGAATGAACCCAATCTTCAACAGATCGTCTTAAGCTGGAACTCTATCTGCGTAAATGTGAAAAGTGCAGCTTCAAAAGCGATGAAAGCTGACTTTCAGAAAGCCTTCAAGATGATTGAATCTGCTTTTGATAAAAAAAATCGAAAATCACGATCGTGTAAATGGCATACCCCCATAAATAAACGCCATCAAAGTTAAGAAACGAAAGGAAAGTATTTCTGCATAATCGGAAACACTGCCCAAACACCAGATGGACCAAATTTAAAGTAAACGAGAGCATATAAAGAGGATGTGGCGCAATCAGATACGTGCAATGAAATCTAGTAACATTCTCATCGAACTTTACGAAGAAGTTTACACTTACTTATGCTATAATCCTACGCAGCTTAAACTTTCAGCACCAGCCGACTGCAATTTCATTAAACAACCATACTGTATCAGAAAGTATAAGATACACAAGTTAAAGGATTCATCGTCAGTATCTTTATTCAATTATCCGT